TATTTAAATAAAATTTTATAAAATTTTAATGATTTTTTTATTTAATTATAAGATAAAATATAAAATCAAAAAAATTCTGAAAAATTATAAATCACCCTGTATATCCCTATTAAAGTAATGAATAAATAATTGTCTTTTCAAAAGGGACATAATTGATCTGTGAAATTTTATATGCTAGATAGTTTAAAGACCTATCTTTAATCTGGATCATAAAGATTTTTACTGAAAAACCAAGGAATTTTTTCAGCAAGAATATTCAAAGTTCTATAAAGGCTTCACAAGTATAAAAAAACCTTATTTGTTTGTCTTTTTACTATTAAATTTAGGAAGACAAATATTTAATTGTCTTTTTAAAATCCTATACTAAAGATGACTTAAAGTGAAGATAAAATTTGTATAACCTTTCTTTTAAGGAATTTTTGTAAAAACTATAATATCTACAATTGTTTAAAAAAATGTTTGTAAAATGTTTTTGAATATACAAAAGACTACACAAGTTTTTATTCAAATATATTGGTTATACAAATATTTAAATACAGTAGAAGTAGTATTCTTCTCCCAATTTATTTCTTTATTTTAATTCGTAATATAATAATATATCGGCAAATGTATTAAATCAATTTTTCTTTAATAAATATTGTTATTACTCTACTTATATAATGTTTATTGGCTATAAATATTGTTTATGGGCAAAATATAATTTTGCCATATAATCATATATAAGAAATAAATATTCTACTATACTATTAAGTAGTAAAATAACTATAAAAGATATTTAACAAGTATTTACTAATAACATAGGCAGAATTTGTTACAATTCATAACAACATTATTATATTCAATCTTACAAAAATAGTCTATTTATAAATGAGATCAAAATAAAATCATTCAACTTTTGCTTATCATCAGGCAACATTCTACTAGCAATATTTGATATCATTTAAGGAATTCCAGTTTACTTCACTATCGAAATCAGAAACAACAAAAAAATCCTTCAATCAGTATTTAAGTATTGAAAAGAATAGTTAAAATCAACTTTTCACAAAAATCTATAGAAATTGTATATACCAAACCTAAGTCCAGACCAATATTAACCAGAACTATTCAATAGAATAATATTTTATTACATTTTCCTGAAAATCTCTTAATTAATAATACTTGCTTGGATAGTAGTATCAGATGGTGCAAGAAAATTTTTAGTATCACCAGAAATTATATAGTGTGTGAAAGCTTTTTAGTTATTCAAACATTTGAATAAATATATACTTCATACAGTCTAAAAGTTATCAATCAATCTAACAAAAACATCAAAAAGTTTCACAACAACAAGTAGAACATTTTAGTAGTCTTTAAAATTAAACTGCTCTCAGGAACTCTTTCAATTTGTTTTATACTTTACTAATTATATCCTAATCAATATCCAGATACTCTTTGCCCATGATAGGAGTTTCATATTGAAGACATTCAACATGTTTTCAAATGCTCAGAAGTATTACAAGTAGCTGAACAAATTATTAAAACTGTTAATCAGACTCTTTATCCAGACAATAATTACAAACCAATCTTATAAATATGGCAAGTTATTGAATTATTATATGGAGTTATAGACAAAATTTTCTTCACATTAACTCTTACTAACTGGATTAAGGCAGCAACAGAATCTTTAACTTTATTATATGATATAATTTGAAAACTATATTGTTTTATAGCCAATACCTTACCTCTTACTGGAATTAAGTGGAATTATATCAAGTCATATAATTCAATCAATTCCATTAATCCAGAAACCAAAAATATCTTGCAAATCAAAAAAAATTCCAATAACTCATAAGACAACACTATTATTGATTTACTCTCTACCATTGCTAACTCATTTATTTAATCTAAATATATTTATTTCAAATATATTTATAGTCTAACAACTCTATCTGCCAATTTTAATTCTATTTCTTCTAATACTGAGTAGATATTTATAGCTGCTTGATACTATCTGACAAATTATATTGTTTTAACTTTTTTTTTTAATATTAGTCATATGGTTACTGTAGGCAAGCTAGCATTTAACTTATTGTACCAATACATAAAAGATGTTGTTTTTTTCACAATATATATTATGTTATATACAAATCAAATAAAAAAATAATATTTACCTACTTAAAAAATATATATACATATATACAGTGAAATTTGATATAATGTAACTCTAGGACAATTAATAAAAAATTTTGAAAATTCCACTATAATGAGATTTTTTTAAATTTTATTATTAAATCCATTATATCAAGATTATTTTATTATGACTGTTTTTGAATATATTCCACTATATCAAGATTTTTATATGTTTCCACTATATCGAATATCTGCTATATCAAATTTCATTATGTATATATTAATAGTGTATTTAACGAATGCTATTGAAATTTTTTAAAAAATTATTATATGTTTTATATATAAAAATTGAAATCTACAACTTTATAATACTGTAATGATAATAATAAAATAAATAAAAATTATCCAACCTGAAAAAACTTTAATAATTATAAAAATATTAAAAAAAACAAAAACTTTTGATATAATAAAAATAATTTTTTTTTTGTTTTGCTATAAATATTGATGGTGTTTTACTTTTTGAGGTGACTATATATTTTAGATCTAATTTTTACATTGTAATTGATTAAATTATATACTGTATATTCTATTATATAGATTAATAAATACAGTATTATAAATAACTATGAAATTGAAATTGAAGTAGCAATCTAAGAAAAGAGATACAGTACATCTATTGTTTATTAATCCAAACCTTACAACATCATTATTTAATTCTTTGTAAAAATTTATAATTCATTAATACAGTACTATCTAATCAGCATCAAATTTTCAACATTATTTCTAACTCTTTAACCAGATCGTTCACATTATTCCTATTCTGATAGGTGACTTCCCATATTTTAACATTTTCATCCAATCTACCTGCATCTTTAATTTCTTTAGCCAATCCATAATTGAGTTTTAATGCCACCGTACCGAGTATGCAACAATGGTCAACATCGATGGTGATGTTCGCCTTGTCAAATATCAAATCTCTTATAATATTTTCGAAATCTTTTGAAAAACTTTCCATCTTTCCAATTTCATCGATTACTATGAGAAATTTTTTATTTAGATCTTTCACATCAATTTTTTCGCCTTCCGCATTTTCAAGTTTATCGAAATCAATTCGAACACTTGGAATGGCTAGCCTTTCAAACTCTTTCACATCCACTAAATAATCACCAACCCTAAATTGTGTTGCGTTATTGGCTCGACTATGACCCACTGACTGATTATAAGCTTTCCTTGCTAACGCACCACGTTTTCCGTCCAAGGTTATGACATCGAATCCAATTCTTGTTCCAGAGGTGGTAGAAGTTACTTGTTCCGTGTAAAATCCGCGGAGTGAGATTTCCGGATGCTTCTCTATAAAGTGAGAAATTAATTTTGCAATTAATGTGGTTTTTCCAACACGCGGTGGACCGGTTAAGAATAGTGATTTCATGGATAACGTAGAAAGAGAAAATGAAGGGATTGTACTTGATGATTGACGAAATTTTATAATTTTGATAAAAACGTCTATTTGCAGTTGATAGAAATTATGATCATATCACATTAAAATTAGGCAATACTGTAAAGTTTATAAATATAACTACTGTATTCTCAAAAAATTTATTTTGTCATATATGACAATAATGTGCCGTGATAAAATAAAAAGCATGATAAAGTATGTTGCAAAAATACAATGTACCATGTATAATTTTTTTTAATAAGAAAGATAAAATATTGTATCAAAATTTAATTATTAGATGCAAAGAAAAGTTTAAGAACCATGATCAAAAACAGCTGGAAATAATAAGGTTATTTGAAAAATAGAATAAAATTTACAATTGATTAATGGTTACAAATATTTTAAGGTATTGTATTTTTCCTTAGTAAATAACTTTTAATAATCCAATTCATGCACATCCGCACCAATGCCAACTTTCCTTTTCTATTATTTCTTTAACCTCTCCCAGAAGAATCCCCGAATTCACATTCCACACTTTAACGTTCTCCGCCCATACATCCCATCTTTCCTTATCCTCCACTTCTCTCAGTCTTCTATTAACAATTTCATCGCGATATTCCCCCGAAGTGGAGGTGTTCAGTAATGAAGAGTCATCATATCTAAATTCCACATACCACTTGAATCCAGGTAGCCACACTTTCAACCAATTAAATGAAACGTTAATGCCCAGCGCAGTGGGGCCAATGGGTCTTTTCGTATAGGGTACAATGGAAATTTTAATTTTCGGACGAGAAATTTTGGACAAATCGATGGTATCGTTAATCTTGGTATTTTGAATGCCAGTATGAATATCTGGTGCATGTTCATCTGTGAAATGAATTCCGATCAAAATGGGAACAGTCGCATGTGATTCGAGGAATTTCAATATCTCATCTCGTGTACCAATTATAATGAAACATGAGGTTTGTATTGGGGAGAGAACAAGTTGAGAAAATTTTAATGGAGGGAGGATGCGAGTTGTTTGTGGATTATCCTCTATTATTAAGGGATTCGAAGAGATACATGTACATGAGGATTAAAAGCATAAATAAAATTGAGAAAAAGACAATCACATAAATTTAGGAATCATGTACTCACGGATCAAGTATCCATATTTCATTTTTCACTGCATCATGCTCTCTCGGTTCTCAGGCTATTTGTTAATCTAAGTCATCTGATCTTACGTCATTGTGTAATATAATTTATCCCATTATTTCCAGAAATGGAAATCCAGAGATTTTCTTGAGATTTTTACCCATTCTTTATATTTGCGATTCATTATTAATCGAACACAATGCCCAAATCTTCGGGATCATCGAAGTTCATCAAACCCCCGATGCCCTCAATATATTTCACTTCAACAGATTCGTCGAGTTTCACGTCACCTCCGACGACTTCTACCTTGGCGCGGAATGTACCAGAAAACTACATAAGGCTTATAAGTTGTGATGGATATGAGTTTGTTGTGGACAAGGATGTCGCTCTTTTGTCGGGCACTATCAAGAATTTATTTTCAAGTCCTTGTGAGTGAAACATTTTCTTGTTATGTTGAAACACATTCGGTAAAAAATGAATTCAACAAAAAAAAAAACATGCTAAAGTTCCATACAGGGAAACGATACAAAACCAAATCCAATTTGCCGAGATCAAGTGAGTGCATATAGGAACAGTTAGTTGTACACTAAAAAACGTCGCTCAATCACAAGTTCCATCACAGCGCCGTCGTCTTGGAAACGGTGATCAAATATCTTTACCACAAGCGAAGGCTCATAAACTCCCCATCGGATCGGCTAACATTTCGGATGAATCACGTTTACGCATTACAACTGTTTCTCGCCGCCGATTTTTTGGATTGCTAAGTGAGCTTCTGTTTAAGGTTTGATGTTACTGTAATTTGGTTTTTTTAGTGGATTACCTACAGTAAATGTTCAAAGCTCGATCGTAATCCTCCTCATTATGACGCGTGAGAATTGCATGTGCGTAGTTGATGTATGCACGTGCTCAAGAAATTTGACAGGTGGTGGTGAGATCATTCCTGTATACGGTTAGGGTAGTAATATAATGCGATCATTTGCCAATACAACTGAATGATAATTTTTCGTGATGTTGTATATAACTCCTCGCCAAGATGATGGCCAAGGGGACAAATACATGTGATGTTTCGGCGCAACAGATGAAAGTTAAATGAAAGATTGCGTACGTGTATACTTACGTACGTGTGTATGCTCAATCGATTGTTCCATTGCTGGCGGCAAAACAATGGTTTATTGAGTAAATGTTATCAATTCAAACAAAGTTACGTAAGTCATATTGTCAATTATTCGGAGTTATGGTTGATACAAAATCTGCATGTTTCACCGTTAGCCGCAAACACGTTACATGAGACAAAATTGATTAGATTGGTACGTAAGTGTACGTACAGTACATATGCGCTTTCTTTATATTGCTCTCTCAATCGACGACTTCGTGACACAAAGAACATATCAATTGGCATCTTTCGTTAATTTCCCAATTGTATGCATCGAAATGGAATCGTGAACGTCGGTATGCAATAGAATTCACGAATGCCGTAGCGAAGGTACAGTATACATATACCATTTTAACACGTCGTGAGATTTACCGCGAAATAATTCTTATAGACGAGAATTACAGTATATTAAGATGCATGCGATGAAACGAATTTCAAATCTTATAGTGTGCCTAATAAAAGTAAATCCTCGTGCATCCAATTTTCTTTAGAAGATTATTCACTATTTTAGTATTATTAAAAAGTTCTTTTTTAACTTTCGCTCTGTCCCCAATTTTATTTCATCCTTCAGCCTACAAAGCATACACAGGAGGTGGTTCACATGTTCACTATCGTTTGCTCTCTGCAAAACCCTTTAATAAACACGAAAAAGGCGAATAAGGTCAGGAATCACGATGCGACCTCTGGGGGGTCTTCTATGCGAGGACGTACAGTTGACATATTGGCACTAGCTCGCATATTCTTTTATCGATCGTGCATTTATTGTTGATTTTATGGTAGGCATGCATGTATATACAGTACATACATATTTTTAAAATATTTCGATAAAAAAAAAAAATCATATAAATATAATCGCGTAATTTCCTCTCTCAAGAATCGCACTTACGCAACTTAAAAAGAGAAAAAGTAACATGGTGGCAATCGCAATCCTAGGTTCTGATCCAATTACTTTCTTCCTTATCACGCATCTCACCCACCACAGCCGCAGTCCGCAACATCAACCCGAAAACATCAATAAAATTTTGTTTGTCGGTCAACCCAACGACGACGATTATGGCTTTGGAAAAGTGAAACACGTGAAAGTCAAGACTTTCGATGATTACGAGATCGCTGTTCCTCGTGAACAGATCAATTACACCACAGACCTAAAGGAACTTGTCGAATTTAATCCCGACTATATCTTCGTTACATTGAAAGGGAATCAGGTTATCGAAATTTTACAAGAGATTGCGGAGTTGGACGGAAAGACCGTGGTACGTGTAACGATGATCTTTTGGATCTCTCGCTTCTCGTTTTTTCTCTCCGACTAATATGTTTTATCCTTAAAAGGTTGTGACCTTCAACGGCTATCACAACTCCGAACTTGTGCATGTCGCATTACCAAATACAAAGATCATCGACGGCATGATTGTACAATATGTCTACCACCTCTCCGACTGTCAATTCGTTCAAGAAACTGAAGGCTGCATCTACCTCCAATCCATACCCGATGCTCTTCCCATCCAACAAATCTTCCAACAATCTCAACTCACCGTTCGCACGTGCTCCAACATAAAAAGTTTCATGTACGGTCGTTTGATCATGAATCTCGCTGGTGCCATTGTGGCATTGAGCGGATTGTCATTTACACAGTTCATCAAAAATAAAAATTGGAGAAAGATATTAGCGTCATCCATGTGGGAAGCATTTGAGGTGTTCAAACATCATAATATTGTGCCCCTTGTATCAATGGATCGGATACCATCATTCTTGCATACATCCTTACCTTTGCACTTACTTCCTTACTTGTTGCTGTCCCCGAATTGGGTACTAAATCCGGTGGTGATGAGTTTACTGAAGAATGATCCAATTTCTTTGTCATCAATGTCCAAGGATTTCAAGTGTGGTCGTAGAACGGGAATCGAGGAATTGCAGGGGGAAATCGTTAAATTAGCAACTGTTAACGGATCAATTAAGACCGCCTATAACAGTGGTGTGTATGGGTTGGTGAAGCTGGTGGAAAAGTCAATGATGGATAAAAAGGACGGCTGGAAGGTTGCATTCACTAACGAAGAGGTGATCGGTTACATCGAGCATGGGACCGTTCCCGCCTGCTTACTTTAATCACGTCACCCAGCGAATAATAGATATTTATATTATTTATTTATTTATTTATTGATTGCCATAGATTTATGCATATTTCATAGATATAATTTAGATTCCCACTTATTTTATCATCTACTTTAGATTCATTAGAAATTGTGAGTTGTTTGTGTAAGATATTAAAATCAAATCAATGTATTTTATTAAAATAAACTTCGAAGTTTGAAGCAAATAACGCCTAATACAATGACAAAAAATATGTGGTGATGCTCATCATTTGCATACATCACAAAGAAATCATATCCTTCGGCGTCTCTTCGGTTCCGGGGCCGAAATCCTCGAACCGGGAGATGCGATCGTCTCTAATTTACCACCATCACCCTCCTCTTTTTTTACCTGAGCCGCTGTTGCCGTTGCTGACACTGTTGATGCCTCCTTCAGACGTCGACGTATTGAGAGGACTGTGGAAGATTGTGAATCCTAAGACCCTCCCCAAAATAAAATCAGTTGAGTAATTCTTTTCGAATCGATGATAACTTGGGTTTCTAATAAGAACTCGAGAAAATTACTTCGGACTGAATGTTCTGTGGTTGATAAGATGTAACCGCAAAGCTTGTCGAAAGCGTGGATTGATGATCCAAACCGGGTATTGGAGGCTCCTGACTAACGTTTTATAAGAATGCGAAAAATCAAGACTCAATTTTGAACTAGTTGTCGAAAGCTTACTAACCTTTGGTACGATGTGTAAGGGTAATTGTAATAGTAGCCCGTAGGATCATAATTACTATAATAGTAGCCCGTAGAATCATAATTACCATAATTATATGCGGAGGGATCTAATTGTGGAAAGTTTTGTACTGGTACAGGTTGTGTGGCAGACGTAGGGTGTTGGGCGCTATCTATACCAAGGGAAAAAGGGTTGAATGATTTTTATCGGATCAATCAAGAAACGCATCAATCAATAAATTTACCCTGCATTTCTTCCTTTTTCTCGTTCTTCTTTTCAACTTTGCGTTCTTGAGTTTTGATCTCAATGACCTTACGTCTATCCTCCAACTTCTGTCGTGTATCTTCAACTGATTCATATTCGGGTCCATACCGAACTTTCAGGTTAGAACCGAAGAAAACATGATCATTGACTTTTCTCTTCGCCACCCTAAAAGTGAGTTGCGAAAATCAGTCGATCTAATTATGCGGAAATGTCGTTTGACGAAAAATACCTTGCTTCTGCGATTGATTGAAATTTTATCCAATACACATCGGTAAATTCCTCACATAAATAATCATCCAAGTATCGATACCTAGAATAATCAAGGTTACACGCACGAATTATCATCAATTCTGTAAAAGTAAGATATGATGAATGCGCAATCGAAAAGTCCTCTACTTACTCCTCAACGGTTCCATAAAGCGCAAACAATTCCAGCAATTCCTTTTTCAGGTTGAGTGCTGGCACGTTTTCAACTACCAAATATCTGTCAACGTGGTTAATGGGATAAAACCAAAAAACAATTCGCATTCGGTTAATTCATACCTGGATTCATGATTTACCGTGTAAACTTTGACCGCTGTTGGTCTGCGCCCGGCCCTATACTTGGGTCTTTCGATTGAAACTAAACTTTGTGCAGAAAATGTTATAAATGTAACGAACAGTGTACTTTTTGGTGCAAATTTCTGTGGTGGAAGTAGAAAGAAAAGCAAAGAGACAAACCATCGTATTCGCTCATTCTAAGAGAAGAACTTGATTCTTCCGATCCGATTTTCATTGGATGTTAATTAGCATTTGTCACGTGATCGACAAAATTTATGTTAAACACGATTTCATTGTTACATACCTGGATTGTTACATACCCTAATTAAATTATTGTAGCATGTTCGAACAGAAATACGCATAACAAAATCAATGTGTTCTTTTGCATTATGCAGTCTAGTCCAGTGCTGGCTAAACCATTCACGTATGTACTGTAAAGAAGTTCCTGACATCATGTGCACCCAGGTGCTGAATTGAGTATCTCATCTCATACTTACGCATTTACAAAAAGCGAACCTTTCGCGAAAAATTCCGTAAAAATTATCGTGCCCACCATACAAAGTAAATTGCCTGATACATACTCTTGCATTTGCGTGATGTCACCTTGGAATATTGTTTTGATGCGGCTGAAATGGTTTTTCAGGGGCTCCTGCGATCGTATCCGCACATAAATGTTGTGATATCGGAAAATTTCAGAGCTGGAAATTACACATGAAATTAATTTGTGGCACTTCTTGTTTTAGAGAAGTTTGCAATTAATCCGATATTCAAGAAAAAAAAAATCGAATTATGATAACATGATCGCATCATGCTGTTTAAATCTCAAATTTCAAATTGACAATAGGTCTGATGGTTTAATTGACTCGAAAATATAATCAACAAAAACATTGACATTAGTCCTTGATGCGAGCGAAATTCCGACACAGTCAAATTTGGTGTTTACCCCGGAAAATCTTGGGAACAAATTTCAGGTCTTATCCATGAATCGATGGATCGAGCAAGTAGTTTTATCGATGAAGGTGATGACAGTTCATGGTTAACCGACCCTCTTAATTATTTTTATCTTATTATAACCTGTATCTATTCTGGTATTCTCACGTGATCCTAATGCGATCGATAAAAATAAAATTTGGATTTTGACCAAAACCGGTTAAGCCAAGCCAAGCCAAGCCAGCCAAGCCAAGCGAGAAACTCACGAATACGTCATGTTTACATAAAAAGATTTGGCGTAGATTTCATATTACGAATGACAGCGTAATGAATGCGTAATCTTCATGGGATCATTTTCTCGTCGCGGTTATTCAAACTATGCAAACTATTAATAATGCCTTTGGGTACCGGTGTCTTTTTGTTTCTAAGGATAGAAATTTCTAGGGATATGGCGAATGAAATCTCCATGCTAGTCTAAACAATTAGTTATTGTTATTATTATAGAAATCGAGAATTTCTTATGTAATGCATTCGACACCTGGTATTTTTATCATTGCGATGACGGGTAGATAAAAGGTTATAAAAGCAAGCACCAATTCTTCGACCTGCAATTCAACTTTCTGTCAAGTTTCAATTCAAAAAAAAAACAAGATAAATAACAACAAACACCAAAAAAAAAAAATGAAGTCGTTCAAAATCGTATTCCTAAGCGTTATCCTTGTCTTCTTCGCAATATCTCTCAGCCCTGTTCGAGGTCAGACAACGACAACCACGACTTCTTCGACCACACAAATTACCGACACTAGCACCACCACGACAACTCCCGTTGTCACGACCACCACGCGTATGTTTTCATTTTATTAACTCGAATAAATATATTTTTTTTCTTTTGTTTCTATAATCTCATTCTTTTTTAATTCCTACTTAAACAAATAGCCACAACTACAACCACCACTACTAATGTCTCTGCATCCATCTCTCAAACCGTAACCACGGCAACTGCTTCGACAACCTCCACCAAAACTGCCAATCCTTCCTCTACTACTTCCACGAATGCTGCTCCCACTATACACATCCAAGGTTTCGGAGCTGCTATGGCTGGAGTCGCTGCGGTGGCCGTCGCATTGATGTAATCAATCCACAAAAAATTTAAAGGGATTATTTAGAAAGGTTGTGTTGGCTTGGTGATAAACTAGTATTTTTCGCTATAAAAAAATTATATTTTCAATTAATGGTTTACTTATTTTTCGTGAAATTATCCTAATTTGTAACATCATCAGCATATTTAATAAATTTCCATGGATTATTGATATATTCTTAATCTGAGGAAATTTCCTCTTGAAAAATGTATTTGTTAATAAAATGTGGTAAAGAGTGCTCTGATCGATTGTGCTCGTGCAACTTTTTATGTCGGATTCCAATGAACCATCAAAGATTTGTTTCTTTGACAACATTGATAATATAAACTAGTCGCGTCAACTAACATTCATCACGTGATTTTGATTAGGAAAAAAAAAAAATTGGTCTTGCAAAAAATCCTTGGAGAACTTCCATTTTGCCATAATTGAAAATCATTTACCAATAATAGATAATTACTCATAATTGTTATCGTTATTGTGCTGTTATGCTTGTCATATGAAATTTGGTTGATCGACACTTTTTTTTTAAAAAGATCTGGTGTATAAAAATTCAATGAGAACAATTACTCTTTGTTAACTTCGAATGCTAAAGTCATGTCTGCAAAAGCAATTCGAGAATATGATGGTAAACTTCTCTTGGATTACTGGCTCTTCCGTTCGCCCTCCCTTTTGAAGGAAGACGGTTCTTCGAACGCGTCTAAATTCTTGCCACCAGTCTCCAAAATTGCTCATGTTTCTTTTGACACCTCTATCCTCGCGGACCTAACCAACAATAATCCTCAAATTTCCTTTAACAATCATGTTAATCAATCCCTAAATATCCTGGAGCACACGCATCCTTGGTTATTGACCGATAAGTTGGTCGTCAAGCCAGATCAACTCATAAAAAGACGTGGAAAGTCGGGTCTATTATTATTAAATGCTGACTGGCAACAGGTTAAGGAATGGGTTATCGAAAGAGCTGGTAAAGAAATTCTGGTAAGCTACAAAAAAAGTGTTGTGAAAGAATCCATTATGCAATAATCCTTCTAATAATCGTGCGCCTTTTAGGTAGACCTTGTAACCGGAGTGCTAAAGACTTTTCTTATCGAGCCATTCGTTCCTCACCCTTCTCATACCGAATATTACGTCAATATCAATTCCGTTCGCGACGGAGATTATATTTTGTTTACTCACGAGGGTGGCGTTGAAGTTGGTGACGTTGATGCCAAGGCGTTGAAATTGTTAATTCCCATAGATGGGAATTGCCCCACATCCGAAGAGATCAAGGAGAAATTATTGGTCAATGTTCCTGAAGCTAAAAAAGATGCTTTGGTTAACTTTATTTCTCGATTATATGCCGTGTATGTTGATTTGCACTTTACATATCTCGAAATTAATCCTCTGGTTGTATTGGACTCCACATCCGATGGTGAAGCTTCAAAAATATATTACCTCGATTTGGCTGCCAAACTAGATCAAACAGGTGAATTCGAAGCCGGGCCAAAATGGGCGATCGCTCGGGCACCGCGAAATGTCGGAGTTCTCGTTGATGGTGAGACGAGGAAGGTTCAGATTGATCAAGGTCCACCCATGGAATTTCCGGCGCCCTTCGGTCGAGAATCAACCAAAGAGGAAGCATACATACAAGAGTTGGATTCAAAAACTGGGGCGTCCTTAAAATTAACAATCTTAAACAAAGATGGAAGAATATGGACCATGGTTGCGGGTGGCGGGGCTTCTGTTGTTTACAGGCAAGATTTTTTTTTTACTTTCTTTAGTTCAATATTCATCAAAATTCAATAACCATCTATCTCTACACCCTCTTCTCGTTCAGTGATGCAATTGCCGCTTTAGGATTCTCTAATGAACTCGCCAATTATGGCGAATATTCGGGTGCTCCAACAGAAACGCAGACATATGAATATGCAAAGACGATACTTGATTTGATGACTCGAAATCCTATACCACACCCTGATGGCAAGATACTCATAATCGGCGGTGGGATTGCAAACTTCACGAATGTGGCTGTTACGTTCAAAGGTCTAATTCGTGCATTGCAGGAATTTAAGCAATCATTGATGTTACATAAAGTAAAGATTTTCGTACGTAGAGGTGGTCCCAATTATCAGGAGGGTTTGAGAGCCATGAGACAGTTGGGAGATGATCTTGGTATCGAGATTCAAGTATTCGGCCCTGAAACTCATATCACTGAGATCGTGCCCTTAGCATTATTAGGGCATGGTTCAGGACTTGATAACAACAATGTTTCCGGTCAAACTCCGGTGTCTGTTAATTCTTTCCAGGATCAAATTCTTGGATCCAATTCTTCCACCACCAACGGCAAGGGAAAAAACCCGAATAACAATACCGCCGAAGCAGTCAGAGATCCGACGGTCCCAATCGCGAACCCCCGAGAAAGAATGACCTTCTTTGAAAATCCTACAACTCAAGAACGTCCATGGTACGCTGCATTCACTAACGAAACGCGTGCCTTTGTGTATGGGATGCAACCTCGTGCCGTGCAAGGAATGCTAGATTTTGACTATATTTGCAAACGTCATGTTCCTTCGGTTACTGCAATGATTTATCCCTTCGGTGGTAATCATGTGCAAAAATTCTACTGGGGAACTAAGGAGACCTTGCTTTCTGTATTTAACAACCTTGAGGATGCGATTAAAAAATATCCGGAAGTTGATACCGTTGTCAATTTTGCTTCTTCTCGCTCTGTCTATGACTCAACTTTAGAATTTTTCAAGTATTCTGATCAAATCAAAACAATCGCCATCATTGCTGAAGGTGTTCCTGAACGTTACGCTCGTAAGATTCTTCATGAAGCCAAAAGGCGAGGCGTTTTGATCATCGGTCCTGCAACCGTTGGCGGTATTAAACCCGGTTGTTTCAAGATTGGTAACACCGGTGGCATGATGGACAACATAGTTTCGTCAAAATTATATCGTCCAGGCTCGGTGGCCTACGTATCAAAGTCAGGTGGCATGTCCAACGAATTAAATAACATTATATCCAGGACAACGGATGGTGTCTACGAAGGCGTGGCTATCGGTGGTGATCGATATCCGGGGTCAACATTCATTGACCATTTGCTGCGTTTTGAAAGTGATCCTAATTGTAAGATGTTGGTCCTGCTCGGTGAAGTTGGCGGAGTGGAAGAATATTATGTGTGTGATGCTATCCGTGAAGGGCGTATTAAAAAACCCTTAATTGCCTGGTGTATCGGAACTTGTGCCAAGATGTTTTCGACTGAAGTTCAATTTGGTCATGCAGGTGCCTTGGCTCAGTCTGATTTAGAGACTGCTGACTCGAAGAACAAAGCACTTAGAGATGCTGGCGGCATTGTTCCCGAAACCTTTGAAAAATTGCCTTTGACCTTGTATGAAACTTACCAAAACCTTGTATTAAAAAAGGTTATCGTTCCCGCACCAGAACCTGAAATTCCAAAGGTACCTATTGATTACTCTTGGGCCCAAGAGCTTGGTTTGGTTCGTAAACCAGCAAGTTTTGTGTCGACCATATGTGACGATCGTGGACAGGAATTATTATATGCGGGAATGAGGATATCGGATGTATTTAAGGAAAGCATTGGAATTGGTGGTGTTTTAAGTTTACTCTGGTTCAAGAGGCGTCTCCCAGAATATGCATGCAGATTTATTGAAATGATATTAATGTTGACCGCGGACCATGGCCCTGCCGTATCTGGGTAGGGTTTTTTCAACTCAAAAAAAAAAAAAAAGCGTCCATTTTATTATTGAACCAACTGATTTTAAAAATGCCCTTTTAGTGCTCACAACACCATCGTCACTGCTCGAGCCGGCAAGGATCTCATATCAAGCTTGTGCGCCGGTTTATTGACAATTGTGAGTTATAACAGTTTAATTGAATACCGAACCTCCTTCTGGTATTCTTGGTATTAAATCATAACATTCATAGGGTGATCGGTTCGGAGGTGCCCTTGACGGCGCGGCCGAACAATTCACTAGTGCCTACGATAAGAGTTTAACACCCCGAGAGTTCGTCGATTCTATGCGAAGGCAGAACAAACTGTGAGTCTAGAATTTGCCAATATCCTTCATGTGATCACCTGGGTATGATAATTCTTATTTATTTTATGTTTTTAGTATCCTTGGCATTGGTCATAAAGTGAAGTCACGCAACAATCCGGATCTCCGCGTAGAAATCATCAAAGATTTTGCCAAAAATAACTTCCCAGCAACAAAACTACTAGATTATGCATTGGCTGTCGAGGAGATAACTACGACCAAAAAGGATTCGCTCATCCTTAATCTTGATGGGGCTATTGCCGTATGTTTTGTTGACTTGCTACGTGAATCGGGCGCCTTTAGTAGGGAAGAAACCGAAGAATATATTAAGATCGGCGCGCTAAATGGATTATTTGTTCTCGGAAGAAGTATAGGTTTTACTGGTAACTAATGATTATCAACATTGTGAACAAATGTTAAGCAAGGCGTATTCGTGTTCAACGCTCACTCCTCATTCTTATTGCTCTTCTTTAAATAGGCCATTATCTAGATCAGCGAAGGCTGAAGCAAGGTCTTTATCGACATCCATGGGATGATATTTCTTATTTAGTGCCAGGCGCGGAAACTGGTCGTACATTTGTTAGTCAAGATACATTTGAGAAAAAAGTATAATTATCACTATTCCTTAGTTTATAGACATCTATTAGTTATTGCATCTTTAATATATTACTTAGTCAATCTTGTACACTAGTAAAAATTATTTTGCTATCTTGAAATTAGAACGTTGCATGAAATACATTTGACATTCCTTCAAACGAAATTTATTCCATCTTTCAATGGCTATTCTTACAAGAAAACCAAGTCTATTTTTTTTTTTTACGTAAATTAGTTTGACACAAAATTTTTCAATAAATACGCAAGTCATCTCCGCTTTTTTATCGGAAATTTCACAAAAAATCTCGCTCTTTAACAACTATAATTATTTTCTATTATCAACATTTTAGGCTTGTGTGTTATTAAGTGATTTAAAAATTTTCTTCATAAAATTTGTTATCAAATCAATATATGATTTATAAATTGAAAATATGTAATCCTATATTATCTATATTATCAAAGTTTTATCAATAAACATTGATTTCTTATTTTCTAATATAATTAAAATAAATGTTAAATAAATAATAATCTACAATAATATTTGTGATTTCTTGAAATTTCTTTTTATGTATTTTCTGGTTACTTGTTATATAAAAAATCCAAAGATATTGTATTGTTATTGCCTGGGGAGAGCAAAATGAAAATTGTAACAATTTCAACTTACAGTAAGTAAACAGAATATTTCATAAAATAAAGAAAAAATAGAAAAAAAAATGGAAAATGATTAAAAGAGATATCAAAAGAAATTTAAAAAAGATAAAAAATTATATTGAAACTTATAATTTCACAATAATAAACAATTATTGAAAATAAATTATTATTAAAACTATTCTATCAAATTAAATTAATTCAAATTAAAAATTAAATAATAAAAAAAAAATAGTTACTTAAAACTATTTAAATCAATTATTTAATATAATTTCTAATAACTTAAGAATTTGTATTTTAAACAAAATATTTTTTTTCAATTAGCAAAGCCTTGTTTAACATACTTTATTTGGTTTACATTTGTATTTCTAATTACAGAAATTACTATTTATAAGCTATTTTAGATATATATTATACTATATTGAGATAATTTCATATTGACTTATTGCTATTGATTTATCTTTTAGTATGTGTCATAACTAATGTACCAAGACTTCATTAGTGTTGTTATTATATGAATAATAAAAGTTAAAATAATTACATATATTGTTTTTCTGATTTAATTAATTCTTTATAAATTTTTAAAAAACTCTTTTCCATACACAACTTTTTTCTTAAAAAAATTTTCTTTTTTAGTAATTATCTTTCAAAATTAAAGAAACAAATATTTTTCTTGCCTTTTATCTTTCCAAAGTCCTTCACACATCCTTTACTTTCACTACAAAAATTTTAAGAAAACTAAAGAAGTATATTAGTATATTGGGATGGGATCTCTGGCCAAAGAAAAACAAGCTTGAGGACCTTGCTTTTTCTTTGAATTACATGAGAAAAGGCCCATGACAGTTACTTCTTTATGAATCTTCCTTGGAGTTCTTCCCATTTTTACTTCTTACAAATACACATTTCTTATTAAATAATCATATTTTTTTTGCAAATCAAAAAACCAAACCACATATTAAAAATATTTATATTGTTAACTTGGAGAACCAGCAATATATTCATTGTTTACTTCTTACTATTGTCCAGCATAATTTGCTGTGTCACAAAAACCACAAAACATTTTTTCAAAAAAATTTTCACAAAAAAACTGTAATTAGTTTACTCCTATCAATTGATCACCATTTCAAAACCAACCAATCAAACACTACCAATTATTCAAACAAATCTGTACTATCAAAATATCATCTACTGATCAATATAAACAAAACCAGTTTTGGTAACTACAATTAAAACAAAATTATATTATCAACTTATAAACCAATTATCTTATCAATTATCAATTATATTAATACAATAATAACAACCACTATTACTAACTGTAGTGATGAACTGCAGGCAATAACCTTTGGAATTGAACTTCATAAGCGAGTAAATACCAAAGAGAGCAACTTTATTTATCTTCAAAGTCACACCTAGAGACATTAGTCAAAGACAGGTGTTCAAGTCAATAGAATAGTTTATGCAATATGATGTATTATACATTATTTGTT